CCAGGGAGTGAATACTGGGGGCACACGTGCTCCAAACACAAGAACATGTTGAGAGAGGTTCCCTGCAGGAATACAGAGACTGAACAATTTTGGAAAAAGTGCTTTGTGCAAAAACATGAATCAGATTTGGACTGTTATTTCCTGTGATGGTCCCTCCAGAATAGAGTCCAAAAAATCCTCTGCAACCCCAAGAGATACAAAGGTTCATCTGTATTTGCAGGTTAATTTGTTTGAAGCAGGCTTGATTTTTTGTGTCTATTTAATTTGTGGTGACATATTACGAATTGCAGGGCATTAACCTAGGTGGAAACCTTCACACAGCTTTGAGAACCACAGTGGAAGTGTACAACAACACATTAAATGAATGAAAAAAATGAAAAAGATATTGTTCTGGAGGCCAGAGGAAGAATTATTCCTCATTAGCCCCTACTACTTCTGATTCACATGTTACTTCCCCTGGTAAGCCCAATCTTTTCAAAAAGATGAGAGGTAATGGCACTTAAATAGCATCAGGGGAAACTCAGGTTGGATATTAGGGGACATTTCTTCTCAGAATGAGTGGCGAGGCATTGAATGGGTTGCACAAGGAGGTGGTGAAGTCACTGTCCCTCGAGGTGCTCAAGAAGAGTGGGTGTCATATTGAGTGACATGGGTTAGAGGTGTTGTGCTGATGGGTTGAAGGTTGGATTAGGTGATCTTAGTGATCTTTCCAACCTTAATGATTCTATGATTCTATGTTTTCTTTGCAGTAAGGACTGTGATCTTCTGCTTTGATCCAGCTGCTATTCAACCCATGAGAAATTCATTTTGAGCTGCACATACTGGGATCCCACACAGAAGGAAGGTATAATTAGGGCTTATGTAGAAACTGTTGAAAGTCTTAGTGATAAATTATAATTATTACCTGCCAGAGAAAGGAAAGGATAGAGAGTATATCCCATATCACAGGGAGATTATGACTAGTCATGTTTTATACAGAATTTCTTCTTTTCCTATGTAAATCCTCCTAAATTATCTGAAAAGAAACTGGAAGAAGAAGGCAGTAAAAGAAGAGGTGATCTAGGGCTGTGATCCAAATCCTTAGGGTGGAAATGGAGATTCAGTTATGCTCTTTGTTGAGATCTTCTGGCTGTGTGCAGCTTGTGGTGATGGTGACCAGCCAGCAGCATCCTGCAGGCTGTTTTTTCTCCTTCCAAGTCTGTTGGTGTGATGCATTTGGAGACTCCCAGGTGGAAGGGCAGGATGTGATGCTCCTGGAGAGTGGTGGGGTGGTCTGGGGAGTCTTTGCTGTCATCTGCACCTTCATGCAAAGGACTGTGTGTGTTGGGAAGGCTCAGCTCAGGCTTGGGGCACATCCCTGCCTTGGCATGAGGTTCATTTTCTCTCCAAATCACTTACAGATGGCAGTAAGATCAAGAAAAGACGAGGAAAGACAAAGAAAGATGGGGAAGGAAAGGAACAGAAAGGAAAAAGGGAAGGGAAAGAGAGGAGAGGAGAGGAGAGGAGAGGAGAGGAGAGGAGAGGAGAGGAGAGGAGAGGAGAGGAGAAGAGAGGAGAGGAGAGGAGAGGAGAGGAGAGGAGAGGAGAGGAGAGGAGAGGAGAGGAGAGGAGAGGAGAGGAGAGGAGAGGAGAGGAGAGGAGAGGAGAGGAGAGGAGAGGAGAGGAGAGGAGAGGAGAGGAAAAGGGAAATGAGAGGGGAGGAAAAGGGAAATGAGAGGGGAAAAGATATGTATGAAATAAAGACAAAGACCCTCTCCTTGCTCTTACTCTTGACTCCCAAGCAACTCTTCTTGCAGTGCCTTTGCATTCAGGTCATGCAGAATGTTTCCCATTTTTTTCCTCCGTCTCCTCCCTCCACCACTCCTGGATCATTTCTCATACTTTTCCTCACCCTCTGTCAAGCAGTGGGAACGGGGCAGCCCTGATCCACTGCCTGCAGTTGTGGGGACCCTTATCAGTGAGCAAGCAATGTCTGTTTGCTAGAGAAAGACCTGAGGTCTCCTGGGCATGTAGAGCTGTAAAACGTGTTACAGCTTTCACAGCTCACTTACTAAGCTCTAAACTTTGCTCTCCTACTGATGTATGTTTTCCTGCTTGCTCTTTACTCCTTTGTCTTTCCCAGTGAATGGGTTTAGGGTTTACAGTCACCCCTCTCCAGTCATGTACCTTTGCCTGGTGGGGATGAGCACAGTTGCAGACAGCCTCTGAGTTTTAGGAGCACTGCTTCAAATCTCGATGCAAGTGCTGTGAAGCCTCTTGTTATGTGCTAGTAATGACTGAGCTGCTCCAGTTTCTATCGAGGACTTCTGGACTCTGCCATATGTTGCAATGTTGTTTGCCCTTTAGCTGGTTGCTCAATCCAGAAGAAGGGATATTATCTTTGTTAGGATCAGAGGCTTGTGCATTTTGTGTTTGATGTGATCTGAGGCACTGCAGATTCAGACAGACCTTCAGAGATGTTCCCATGGCTTCTGAATGCCATACTACAACTGGAAGACTGTAGGCAAGGATGGAGGGTCATGGGAGGATGTCAACCGTATCTCCTAGATGGTCCTTGTTGGAGAGAAAGAATGCTCCTTATAAACAGCTCCAAAAGTTCATATTCCATGGTGTAGATTCATAAGGTTAAGCTTCCTAAGTGTTGCTCCCTGAAGGCTGCCAAGAGATGGGTGCCACCAGGACATTATTTGGGGACGCAGCCCTTTGAATACTGAGGGCTCTGAGGTCTGAATGTGGAATCCCCAAGCTGGCATCCTCACATCATCTCATGCTAAAAGGAGGTGTCTGGTCAAGATCACAGAATCACAGAATATCCCAAGTTGGAAGGGACCCATAAGGATGACCGAGTCCAGTTCATAGAGATGATACCAAGATGACAGCTCGGTTGGTTTGTTTGTGGTAAAGACTGGAGCTCTGTGAAAGGCTCCTTGCTGAATGTTTCCCTTTACATGGGATTTTGTGCTCACTCCTTCCAAGAACTCCATAGAGACAGCAGTCATCCAGACAGTTGTGAAATACATAACAGAGGAAAAATTTAAACTGCTCTCTGTATCTCGCACGAATAGGTCATGAGTTAGTAGGATTAAGCTGTAAAACAGGAGGATAGACATTGAAAAAACCTTTGAAATGTAAAACTGGTTCAGCTGGGATTAGCATGTCTAGGGAGCTAATGGTACCTTCATCCTGTGGCAACTTTTATGAGAAAGATGGACTACCATGAAAATTTAACATCCAGCCAACTGAATGGAGAGAACAGTGTGTCAAGGTCCCTGCAATTTGTTTTCCTGTCAAATCCTATGCACTCATAGGCAAATATTGATGTGTGAACCTCATGCACGCGTCAGGAATGCAATAGCAAATCTCAAGGTCTTCTGACTGAACAACAGATGATTTTGATTGAGTATCTTCATCCCTGTTGCTGAAGAAGGATGAAGGCTTGAATCAAGGGCTGGGAAAGAACAGGTCCTGTGGATGGGGAAAACTGTGGTCTAAGGATCTTCAAAGAAAGATGTTAGTGAACTTTTAGGAGTGGCTTGACCCGATCATTTCCAAAAGTATGGGGTTCTTCCTGACTGTCCTGAATGGCCTCTGCCTCAGGAAGACATTCAGAGCATGACACACCTGGGCACACTTCAGTTAGCAGTGGTCCAAACTGTCAACTCTTGTGTCTCATTTCATCACAGGGTCATTAAGGTTGGAAAAGACCTCTAAGATCACCAAGCCCAACCCATCCCACCATTCCCACTGACCATGTCCCTACATGCCACATCTCCAAGGGTTGCTGAACACCTCCAGGGACACCTCCTAGGGCACCCTGCTCTTTTGGAGAAGCAACTTTTCCAAATATCCAGTATCTATTCCTTCTCATTTGCGCCCAAGCTGATGATAGATGTTTGGAAAATCCAACAGGGATGCAACATTTCAATGTTAAGTTGCATCTTGTCTTTCCGTATTATTCATGGCTTCTGCAAACTGATTATAGGTTTTCTGGGGGCAACAAAACACTCTTTAGTGTAGCAGAAAAGCACCTCAGGGCATTTTCATACTCCAGAGAAGTGATGGATGATGGTGCTTGTTTGTAAGACAACACACAAGTATATTTTTCTAAATCTTTCTTCATGTTCCTGATAGTGTCCTGCTGGTCGAATTGCTCTTTTCTGGCACAAACCCCTTTGTTATTTGCTCTCCTGGTGACTACATCACTCACAATTTACCACCAAAATCTTTGTTTAAAATCCTGACACTGAACAGATCTCTCAGGTGTGCAAATTTACAGCTATTCTTCCTAGCCATGAAACATTCTGCCAGGAAAGCTATTTCAGCCAGGAAATAATTTTTCCATAAGGGATCAGTCTGTACAGAGCTGCAGTTTTTCCAGGATAATAGAGCTGTGAACTGGGAGGGCTTTAGTCCCTTTCCTGCTTGAGCTAGTTAAACTGGTAGGGGGTTGCAGACAGGTCATGGTGCTTTTGAGCTGGTTCCCATAGCTAAGTTGAGGCTCAGGTTCATCTGACATGATTTGGGAAGCTGCATGGAGAGCTTAAGTTAACAATTTCCTTTCCCAGATCACCCTGCGTAGTCTAAAGGAGGCAGAGGTTCCCTTAGAGGTGATGCAGAGTGCTGGAGTTATAACCAGCAGCATCCACTGCTTGCCACTGACTGCTGATGGGGCTTGCAACAACCATGCTTTAATTTTAAGCATCTCTATTAAGGATATAACATTAGGTGGGATGTCCATAGCATACTTTCATGGCGGTTTTGGCATCCTCTTGGGAAAAATTCTGATATGGAAAGCTCACCCCATAAGAAAGCCAGGCTGGATGGGGCCTTGGGCAGCCTGATCTGGGGCCTGATGTGGTTGTCAACCCTGCCTGTCACAAGGGTTGGAACTAGATGATCTTCAAGGTCCCTTCCAATCCAAGCCATTCTATGACTCTACAACTTTAAGGAAAGGAGAGGACACCCACAGTCCTGCCATAAGTCTTGGGATCTCATTTCAGGAAGAAGATGAGATAAGGCTATTCAGATGGAGGCCAGTTCCACCAGCCTCAAGAAGATCAAATTTGGGAAGCTGAAGGTGGTGCGTCGGCACTTGCTGCAGAGATACGAGCACCAGCCCTTCATCTCCTGCCTGGCCGGGTTCTACAGCTGCCGATGGAAGCGGTACCAGCGCAGAAGGACCGAGCCTGGGAAATGCTGCTGCAAGACGGTAAATTTGCCCAAAATCAGCACAGACACTGACTTCCATACTGAAACAGGTCAGCCCAAGCTGACAAGTGATTGATGTCACATGTCAAAGGTTGCCCAGTCCAAATGAGGTCTATCAGTGCTCTGGATTTTGGTTTTGAGATCTTGATGTGTTGCTCAGTTTGTCTGTGCCGCCGTGCAGCGAGCGAACATGGCAGCAGGGAATGGCCTGGCACCAAATGAGGAGCAAATCAATGGGGGCCATAAGAAAGATAGTGACAGACCCTTTAGCTGAGTCTGTTATGAAAAGACAAGAGGAAATAATTTCAAACTAAAAGAGAGGAGACTTAGATTGGATGTAAGAAAAAAGTGTTTTTATGGTATGGTTTTTATGGGTAGTGAAGCACTGGCACAGGTTGCCCAGAGAAGTGGTGGGTGCCCTATCCATGGAGACACTCAAGGTCAGGCTGTCTGGAGCTCTGAGCACCTGATGGAGCTGTAGATCATAGAATCATAGAAAATGCCAATTTAGAAGGGACCCATAAGGGTAATTGAGTCCAAATCCTGGCTGCACATGGGATCACCCGAAAAACAGGCCATATATCTGAGAATTTTGTCCAGATGCTTCTTGAACATCCCCTTGGTGGTCTGAGCCCTCTGAACATGGAGAGCATATGACTTTAAAATCAGACATAACCTAATGATCTTTACAACTTAGACATTGGCTTAATCCAATATCTAAACCCAGTGTCTGAGAGTGGTTTCCAACATTCCCTGAGCTCTGGCAGCTCGGGGCTATGCCCACTGCCTCTCCTTTGAGGAGATCCTCCTGCTCCCAGGGCGCAAGATAAGAAATCCCCTCCATGTCAATATTACAGAATCATGGAATGGCTGAGATTGAAGTCACCTCTGGGTCCATTTGGGGTAGGGCTGGCTGCAGTGACAGTGCTCCCACATCATTCCTTTGGAGACCCTCCATTCAGGTGCTTACACAGATTGATCAGATCCCTCTGAGCCTCGTGTCTTCACAGGCTGAGCAGCCTCAGCAATCTTGGAGAGGGTCCAGAGGAGGCCTTGGATATGCTCAGATGGCTGGAGCATCTCTCCTATGAAGAAAGGCTGAGGGAGATGGGCTTGTTCAGCCTGGAAAAAAGAAGGCTCTGTCTGGAGTGATCTCATTGTGGCCTTCCAGTACTTAAAGGGAGTTTATATGTGAGGGAGCATCAAGACACATGTTTAAGGACAGCCTAAAAGTAACTGCTGTTTTCTCTGATTGTTTTGGAGTAAACAATGCTCTGACTAAATGTCCTTCTTTTGCTGTTTTCTCTGATTGTTTTGGAGTAAACAATGCTCTGACTAAATGTCCTTCTTTTGCCTTTCTAGCGGGAATGTGTGTTTTTCCCACTGCTTGTTGGAGCTTTCTGCTTTTCTCTGGTCTTCCTGTACATGTGGGGTGAAGCAAAAAATGACTACAATAACTTTGACTGGTAAGTACTGTGTTTTCCTTCTTTTCCACTTCAGTCACGAGCCAAAGATTTGACTCCTTGAAGTCCCCTTGAAGACTCCTTGAAGTTCAGCACTCAAATTGATAGCGGAAATGGTTTCAAACTAAAAGTGAGGAGATTTAGACTGAGTATGAGGAAAAAAAAATTTATGACAATGGTAATGAGTCACTGGCACAGAGAATGTGGTGATGCTTCATCTCTGGAGGCACCCAAGGTCAGGCTGGATGGGTTCTGAGCACTGATGGGGCTGTGGGTGTCCCTGCTCACTGCAGGGGAGTTGACCAGATGGCCTTTAGAGGTCCCTTCCAACTCAAATGATCCTGTGATTCTGTGAAATTGAATAGCACTGCCAGGAGTAAAGAGATGTAGTGGCTAGCAGCAGAAGCATTGTACCAGCTATCTCAGAGCAAACAGAATTGCATGCCCCCCATCTTGAAACAGAGGAATAGTCAGCAAGTCTTTATGCAAATCCTTTCCTTCTGAACCGTGTAGGCAACAGTTACATAAACACCTAAAATTAGATGCCGTCCAGATAGCTCTAATATCAGAGGGAGGAAAGGTGTAATTATGTCATTGACTCTTATTGAGCCTTTGGGTAGGAAGTAAAGCTTCCCTCTCTCTTCTTGGGAAACGCCTCTGCAGCTCCTCCAGTGTTCTGACACCTTCTCCTCCAACTATTGTTTCCCTGCAGCCCCTGTGCTAATGTAACACAAATGCTGTTATGAGATTTTATTCCTTTTTAGGTATAACTATGGGAACCTAGGCTTCTGGTTCCTCTGGTCTCTGGTTCTCCTGATAGTGGCTGCAATCCTGTTCATGTACATCACGCTGCTTTTGGTGAGTAAAGCTCCTTGCAGGAGTGAGTTACGGGCCTATAAAGTAAATATATGGTTGGCTTTGATGTGTCAGACCAAAGTTCACCCATCACTGGGAGTGGATACGTGGGGAGGACTGGGAACACAGAGAGCATTTCTGGTACTTTCTCCTCATTTCTGATCATGGAAGAGCATTTTCAGTGAAGAGGTCTCTGAGATAGTTGTAGGTTTGATGCATTCTTTCAATGATTCCCCTTTGGTGAATGCGTTTCATCTCTCCTTAGCGGGAGCTGAAGTTTGTTGCTTTGACAGCAGGGAAGCATTGAGATCCGAGTTACACTGTGGTGGTAATGTAAGAACAGGGTTATTCCTCTAACCCTGAACAGAAGCTCTCATTAGAAGAGAAATATCATCACTGGAGTTGCCATGATTCCCTCTGCTTTGCTGGAGAGTTTGTCTCCAGGCAGAGACTACAGACATGGTGAGAAAGCACTCCTGAACTGTGTGCCCAGAGAGGTAATGTCCCTGAGTCCTTCATTTTTCCAAATCTCATTAGATTTTTTTCTGGACTTCTGATCTGCTGCTTCCTTTGGTTTCTGGAAACTTAACAAGGGCAAGCATTTCCCAACAGTCCCAAAGAGTTCTCTTTCCTCAAAGAGAACCCAAAATAAGCATAGATTGACCTCTGTGTTCCAATCTTCTGCATGCAGAGCTCCAGGCAAAGAAATCACTTCAATTCCAAGAACTGGAGTCCATGCTCAATCTCACATCTGTTTCCATTTTGGGATGTCATGAATCCAGGCTGATTTGATGGCTTTGACTCACTGCTGTGACCAAAATCACTGCTTTTATCACCATTTCCAGTGGATCTGTCTGGATCAGCTCCAAACTCGTGTTTGTACTTTGTCAGCATCCAAACACCAGTGAGTGCCTCGACTGTTTTAGAGGAATTTCATGTCCTTGGCAGCATGGAGGTGATGACTGCAAGCTATCAGGGAAGGCAATGGATGAAGTAAAGCCAGAAATGTAATTCTAAACATGAGAGAAATTGGTGTCCTATGGGGTTTGATTCTGTCTTGGTCTCACTGTGTAAATAGATCCTCCCAGAATCTTGGTTCTGTCTGATGAGACTAACAGGGCCTGCCTTCCTCAAGAGGGTGAAGCTTGGAGTTTGGGGGCTATCACCAAACAAGTTCTACAAGAGAAACATTTCAGAGGTGCCTCTGCTCTTGAGACAACCCCTGCAGTCAGATTCCATTCCCTCTTCCTCACCATGAAGTCACTCACCCAAAACCGCTAGGTATTTCTAAAGGCACCTGCCCTGCTTGCTTGTATCATTATGTCAATTATGTAATTTGACATGCAGCACTCAACTGTGATGAGCAGTGGGTGTTGGGAGACACAAGGTCCTGTGCCATCAGGGCTGTGATCTAAATTGGACCAGATCCTGAAAAAAGAGGAGCACGAATAGTGCTCAACACTGCCATCCATGTTGCTGCGATCTCAAAATGTGCAAAATTTTAGCTTAGATATGAGAAAGAAATTCTTCATTCACAGGATGGTGAGGCACAGACCTGGTAAGGCTCAAGGCCAGGTTAGATGGAGCCCTGGGCAGCCTGACATATGGGATGTATTTGCAAATATCGGTGGTTGGAACTGAGTGGGCTTTAGGATTGCTTCCAATCCAAACTGTTCTGTCACACTGTGATTCTATGACAAGGGATAGGGATGTGGAGGAGAATGGCAACAGTCTGACTCACCAATGCTTGTTCTAACAGGACTTCTTTCAGAGAATGCCTCAGCCTGGAAACACACCTTCATCACCATATGATCCTCCCTGTCACAGCATTTAGCCTTCCAGTGTAGCCTGTGATGAACCCCTCAGCCCCAAAAACTCATAAATACCATGAAGCCCTCCTACACCTAAATACTATTACTGTTGTGGGTGCTGCTCTCATGTTCTGGCTGTGCAGTTCTGGATAGAGACCATCTCCATACCTGTTGGACTTGAGGTCTTCACCCAAACAATGTTTCCTTGTAATCATAGATTCATCTTTCGATTTGGAAGGGATCTTTATAACAATCTAGTCCAACTCCTCTGCAAGGCACAAGGACACAGCTCCATCAGGTGCTCAGAGCCCCATCCAGCCTGACCTACATGGGGCATCCACTGCCTCTCTGGGCAGCCTGTGCCAATTCTTCATTACTGTAACTGTAAAGAACTTTTTTCCTTATATCCTTACATTCCTTATACTGATGCTTCACATCAGATAAAAAAACTGAGCACACTGCTGGCATTGTTGGAGTTGAGAGAATTTCCAGCAACCAGTAATGGCTTTTTTTTTTTTTTAACCTGTGGGCACTGTATCCTTTTCCTTAACAATGGCATCCAACCAGAACCTGCAGGCCTGCTTCCATGTCCTCATTGGGAACCACCGAAGCAAACATTCTTCAGCCCACCAGCTGCTGAACAAAGCACTGCACAATAAAGCAGTGACTGCAAAAACACTTTCTGCCTGCACACATCAGTGTAATTTTCTCCAGACGATCAGTTTCAATTAATGTAATTGTTACTGCTCCCCCAGACAATTTTCTCGTTCCTATTAAAGCTAAAATGTTAAGCTGAGGGGTCTAGCTGCAGGACAACCCAGGTTCAGTGGAGAAGAAAAATCTTTTGTTGTTCAATCTTTTGAACACCAACAGATAATATTTTCCTTTCTGTAGTTCAGCCGTGTTCATTCCAAGGGTTTGGGAAAGTCATCTGTGACTGTATTAAGTAAAGTGCTTCAGAAATGCTGTAGCCTCTGCATTTGTAGGCTAAAAAAGAAGACTCAAAACTATCCCTTGGCGCTGAAGTTCAGAGAGGTGGATGAGGAGACTACTGTCCATCATATTTCATCATAACTTTGTGGGCAGTTCTCCAGTCAGAAAAAAGGAAGACAGAGACGTGAGCCCCATTACAGTGAATCCAACTCTCTTACATTAGGGAAGCATGCCTAAGTTACCAGTTGGCTGGTAGATCATAGAATCACAAAATGGCTTGAGTTAGAGGGGATGTAGCTGTAACCCTCCTGCCATGGGCAGGGATGCTGACCTTAGTGGAAGGAGACATTTCCACACTTCTTACTGAAGATAGGAAGATTGGAAGTATTGGATGTAAGACTGAGAGAGCTGATGGGGCTGGCAAGAGGAACCTGGGCTTTAACCTTCATAGTAATAATCAGACATGTATCAGTCACCAACACTAGCATGTCCATGAACTTGTATTAGACAATCCCACGATATGCATGGAAACAGTTTGAAGGTGGGATACCTGCTTGTGTTGGTTGTCCTTTTGCCCAAGGAAGTTCAACTTCTGCTGCAAACGCGTGAAACACTGTTAGAGGCAGCTGGTCTCTTTGGAACAACACATTGGACGGGTCCTGAGATAGCTTTTGGGGATGAAGCTTGGGATGTTAAGCTTCAGGGGTGCATGGAGAGCAAAGAAAGCTCAAGCTGACTGTGCCAGAACACACAGAGGATGGATCTTGTCCACATCACATCTGCTCACCAACCAATTAAGATGTGTTCTCCTACAGTACCCAGTGGTGCAACTACAGGAGTTCCTTCTTCACCCTGTGATTGGTAATTATTCTTCTTGAAAATTGATAACGAACTATTGGCTCCATTCATAAAAATGAGCTCTTTCTCCAATGGCATCCCTGGATGTGCTGCATCATTAGTAGTAAGGTTATACTGCAACAACAGGGGAGAGTCTGGTTGAGCACACCCTGTGAAATAAGTGGATGCACATTTGCCTTGGATCAAGTCTTTATAGCACTGCTTGCAGAAAAGACAAGATTTTAAAAGTGTCTTTTTTCTTCATTTTTCTGAAGTGGATTATTTAAATGGGGCTGGCTTAAGATCTTCAACAGTAATTCAATTCCCTCCAAACTGTTCCCACGTTTACCCATCATGTACTGGGTGTAGGATTAAATTAAAGGAGTCTAACATGTCAAGAAGTACTTAAAAGCTGATCTGTATTCTCTGCTGTGCTTATCTCACTTCAAATCAGCATCATCCTGGAAAAAGAGTATTTGTAGGTGGGTCAGGAAGAGATTACATTCTTTTGTAGTTGGGTTTCAGAACAGACTCAGGGAACTACCAACCTTTCAACCTTGCCTAAGTGCTGGGGAAGATCATAGAGCAGATCTTCCTGGAAGCTGTGCTAAGGCACATGGAAGAGAAGGAGATGATATGGGATAACCAACATGGCTTCAAGAAGGGCAGGTCCTGCCTGGCCAACCTTTCTTCTTTTTATGTTGGCATAACTGCTTCAGTGGACAAGGGAAGAACCACTGATGTCATCTCTTTGGATTTAGTAAGGTCAGTGACACAGGGATGGTACTGGGAATGGTGCTCTTCAACATCTCCATCACTGACATCAACATCTGGTGATGCTGTTCCCCAAACTGTCCCTTACAATTGCTAGGGAGAGTGCTACAGCCACTCAGCTATCTGAGCACAGAAGAAAGTTTCCAGCAAAGCCATTTGCTGGTTTTTCTCACCCTTTACTCAGTGTTCCAGGCCTTGTGTGTTGTCCCCTGTCCTAACTGGGGTTTGCACTGTGCCACAAGTGAACCTTTCCATCAGGAAAAGGAACATGCCAGCCATAGGGCTGCAGCTGATGACTAAAAATTAACCCAATACGAAGTAGAGGTTTTGAATCTCCAGTGGTAGATGTCCATGTTCTGAGATGTGCCTGTTTACATTTCTTGTAATTGCTATCAATATGTATTCTACTTTGCACTCTGCTCTGTATTTTTATTCATTTGTTTATTTATTTTGATACATTAATTATTCCTTGAGCTGTATCCCCCATGGGTGATGTGTCCCTAAATGACAACACATACATAAAAAGCACGCAAGGTTCATGTCATGGATGCTGGCTCTGGCTATATCCTTTCTGCCAGAGTTTATATTCACAAAGCGTGTGCACCAAAGAGCTCAGTGAAGATGTTGATCCTACAGGGCAGCTTTGTCGTGTGCTTGGTCATTTCAGGAGCATATTTACTGTGGCAATAAACATTTATCAGCACACAGCTGTCCTGCTAATATCCTCACCGTTGTGCAGCAAGGCATAAAATGACTTTCTAAAGCAAAAATCATCCCAGGACTGCCTCGCTAAACACACTTTATCATCCTATGCCAGCATGCCAACTATACCTTCTTGATTTTCCAGGTCCTAGCAATGTGTTTGCTTGCAGAAGGGCAGCAGCTATACTTGCACTGGAGTCACAAGGTGAGTAAAGTCAGGGCTTTCTGGTAACCCTTATCCATGTTTTAAACATCAAACCTGTGGTGTACTCTTCGTGCAAAACTGCTTAGATTATGGGAGAGACGGAAGGGAGGGAAGAGGTAAATTTCAAGAGGCTTTAGATATCCATGAGAATGATGTTTCCACCTGAGCTGATCACCCCAGGTTCCCTTTGGATGAGGGAAACGAACTGTCTGAAGACGCAAATCATCCAGCTGATCACAGGTATCTAAATTAAGATGAGATGAATCACACCTAAACCACCTTTTTTTCCTTGCTGACTATAAAAGGAGCCTGCAGTGACTCATTCAGGTGAGGATGTCTATATTTGAAGTGCTCACATGTGGTACCATAAAGACAAAGGAGGAGTTTGCTGAGGATCACGGTATAAACCTCTGCAGGCAGTAGCTGCTTTCTCTGTAGAGCAGAAATGTGTCTTTTCCCAGGCATCCTTTTTGTCTTTGAGAAGTTCTGGAAATGTCACCTGGAGTTCTGAAGGTATAGAAGTAAACCCTCAGGAATCTGTTGCTACAAAGTTGTACATAACCACAGAATCACAGAATTGTTAAGGTTGGAAAGACCATTAAGATAATCTAGTCCAACCATCAACCCATCACCACCATGCCCACAATGTCATTCAATGTGAATTTGAAACCTCCAGGGATGGTTATTCCACCACCTCCCTAATCAGGGATAAAAGTCACCTTTCTTAAGAAATTCTTGAAAGTTAAGCGAGACATTTCAAACAGGAGCCCCTAGCCATGCAGTTTAGGGAAGAATGTTCCATGATGACAAATTATGCAGTGGAAATAAATAGTTGAATGGGAAGATACTTGATCCTGCTTCTTCATTTTAGTAATGGAAATAAGCATTTTGCTGTTGAAAATGGGCTTTCTGAAGAACTAGAGAGAGCAATCTGTGGAAAATATTGGGATGGTATCCTTGAGTGGAAGAGACTGGGGACGGGTCGTTAAGATGTTGACGTGTAGGATCTTCCTGAAGTGTGGTTTGGGTCTTGGTCCAACTATCATGTAATGCCCAGCAGAGAGCTGATGTGCCAAGAAGAGCAAAGAATCATAACTGCTTTGGTACCAAACTGGGCAAGTAATCAAAGAACAGAATTCTTAACTGAACTCCTTTCAGTTAAGAAATGAATACTCATCTCTGAAGCGTTTGCAGTTGCAGAAGCCCATTGCAAAGCAACTCAGCATAAAAAAAATGTGACAGTGTGTCAATTCATCACTTGTGAATTCAGCCAGCTACAGGTAAAGGATTTAATGTTGGATCATATAGCACCTATATACGCCAGCTCACAAAGAGATGTCTGTCATTATAAAGCTAGTGGAAAGAGACCACCTCTGGAAATTCCCCTCTTTCTCTGTTCATTTCAGAGGGAATCTTGAGGGCTGACTCAGGTTGGGTACCAAACTCTTAAAATCAATCTTGTCATAGAGAAAATCCAATTTATAGCACAATCAGTTTGATTGTAGTCCCACCAGATATTTCCCAACTGATGTACTCAAGCTCATACATCCCAAAATTACTGAGTCTGAACTGCTTAAATAAGTCTGACAGGGAAATTAATTGTATGTCCTATGCAGAAATACTCACGCTCTTCATGTTCTCTTTGTCTCCCTAGATTGGGACTTTTCTTGTCCTGGGTTTCTCTATCACAGCCATCTTCATACTGTCTGTACTCTGGGGAGATCAATGGAAAACAGTCCGCCTGTCATTCCAGGTAAGAGGGACTTGGAGACTGTTTAAGACAAAACAAAACAAAACAAAACAACTAATTTCAGTAAGTATTTTTTGGTAATCAATAGAAAATTCCATATGGTGAATGTTTTTCATGGGGGTTTTCCTGGCAGCCTATTCAGGTTTGCACAAACCTTTATTATGACTTAATAAGCTGATATTTCCTACTGGAAAAAAGGAAGCTAAGACCTGAGGTTTGGTTTTGAGCTATCTGTTTTATATAACATGTTCTGGGAAGTCATAGTGAATCAGAGAAGCTTCATCTGCTGAGGACAAAGCACTGAGGTTCTTAAGGAGTAGGTGGGGAATGCTTGTGCAAGGTGGGACAACCTGTGGGATGCAGGAGGTCAGAGTGCATGGTCACAACTCTCAGCAGGTCTGAAGGTGGAGGCAAGATCTGCTCCACTGCTGCTTAGTGTTGTAGCATCTGGGTTCCCACATGTCCCAGGAGGGAGGAAGTTATAGCATTTGACTACAGAGCTGCCTTGAAGATATTACTCGGATGTATCACCTCTCTCCCACTTTACTTATTGTCTGTGAACATTAGGACAGCAATGCAAAGGGACTGCAAGAGGAAGCAGCTGGTAGCCCCACATTTATTTCAGTTTCTCATAGTCTTTGTGGAACTCTACAATTTGGTAAGCCTAGGCTAAGGTAGTAGCAAAGGTGATTAGAAAATGTTAGCTTCTCCTCTGCACAGACTCCAGGGGAGGAGGAGAAGGGGACAGGAGAGCCATGGGGTTCCCAGGTGTTGTTTATTTTAGGTGCTCTGACCCTTTGAGATGCTTCATTTGGCCTCCTGCTGCTGTTCCCAAGGGACATGCATCTCTTCTAGATCCTATGTCATGTCCTTTAGCCCTGTGTTACTATCTCAGATATCCTGGAAGTCTCAGATGACGCCTTTGTTTACACAACTGAATCCTGCTTCTCATTGAAGGAGGTATCAAGTGTCCAAAGCAGAAAAGAAAAATCACAAAAAATCACACACAAAAAATCTCTCAATGACTTCTACTTCCTTCAGCCTTTCATTCTTAGAGAATCAGGCATAGGCAGAGCAATAGGAAAGGCTTAGGAAATTCAGATTTGTTGCCATTATTTCAAAGACTTAGCTGCATTGGAGATGGCTGTTACCTGAGTAGGATTGGGTTGAATTAGACTGGATTAAAATGGCTGCACTCTGGAAGATGTTAATGAATTATGGCATGGTGGTGAAGGTGACTGCCTGCCAAGCCTCATGGACGAGGACAGCCCTGTACCTTTCAGCTGAATAGAAGAAAAAAGAGCTGCACAGTAAAGAGAGGAGCACTCTGGGCACCAGCCTGGATGGGGGCATACCTTTCTTCCCTGAATTTTGGGGTGATTTGTGGATTCAACCCAGGTGTAGCAGAGAAGAGGAATCACGCGGGAAGGTACAGTCGTGTTGGGGCTTTTTTCCACCTATATCTCTGCTTGACCCTTTATATAAAATCCTTTTCTCTCCTTGCCAGATCACAGCCCCCTATCTCCACATAGGAGCAATAACCATCATGGTCCTCCTCTCCTGGCCCCTGGCTCTGCATGCCATCAGAGCAGATAAGAAAGGTATAGTAACTCTGCTTCCTGCTCCCTGTATGACAGAAGATGCACGTCAGTGAGGGAAAACAAATGTGAAGGAGCCTTTACTCCCATATCCACACTCCAGTTGGAGTTGACTTTTAGTTTTTGAGTATTTCGGGGAAATTTGTAGGGCTTGAACTTGGGTAATGCACTGTCCTGTCTGTCTGTCCAGATACATTACTGAGAAAAGGGTAGATGTGACACTTAGGGACACGGTTTAGTGGTCATGGTGGTGATGGGCTGACAATTGGAATTGGTGATTTTAGTGGTCTCTTCTGACCTTCATGATTCTAAGATTCCATGATTTACATACTGACTTGCAGAGTTCTGGTCAATATCTAGGAAGCTACCAGTCTTGAGGATAAAGAGCTAAGCAGAAATCCCCTTGTTCTGAGGCATGCATGGAAATTTGGTCAATCACCTGCAGGAGAAAGCAAGCAATGCCTGACCTTCGCTTGCTGTGCTCAGCTTCATGTCTCAGAAAGTTGATCCAGACTAGAGAATCTTAGGAGAAGCCAGTGAAATAGGAGAAAGAACTTCCTGATTGATTGGTAAGGAAATTTGTTTTCCTTACCTGATGTTATTCAAAAGAGAGCTCCAGTCCAACTCTGAGAAGTGTGATTAAGGGCAGGGCCAGGAGACAGGAACAACTGTAGAAGAGCCTGGCTCTGGCACTGGGCACTCTTATCTGACCCTGTTTCTTCATATATCTAATTTGTAACAAAACCCACTGACCTCAGACAAAATGTGCTGGTGGGAACAGCCATTGGAGTGTGCAGAGAGATGGTGGTACCCAACCAGATAAATGATGGTCATAGGTGTTCACTTCCCAGAGGAACAGTTTCTATCTTTGAGAGAAGGGTCACTCTTAAGTCACATGTCAACAGACACCAGAGAACACTGTAGGTGATGAGTTAGCAGGTTTCTGAGAACCAATGCCCATGCAACCAGGGTCTGTAGGAGTCTGTGTCACACGGAAGAAGCCGCTGACAACAAGGTGAATGAACTCTGAATGCATTCAACTTAAGGGAATGGAGAAAGGTTCCTCCTCATTTTTTTAACTGGCAATTAAACTTTAAAATGTTACTTGTTCTTATCTGAGTAAGAAAAAAATAGCATCCTTCTGTTGAGGACCATTTCTTTATAGCTGGAGGAAGCAGCATTGTACCACATCTAAAGGAAAAGAGTTTAAGGCTGTTTCTTGCCTGAAGGCATAGTGTGATGTAATTGCAGCACAAAACCTCAGTCCTAACCTAAACAGCCCAAAACCTTCTTTGACCAGTTTGTTCTCCTGGATTTTATTGTTTGGAGAGGTGGGGAAAGAAGAGATATTAAAAAGTGTTGAGATAAAGCCCAACAATTTTACTTAGCTGGAGGGCTGTATGAAGTCAAGCTGCAAGGTGAACCCATATGTTACCAAATGGATTAACTCTAGCCTTCCTCCTTCGAATTCTTTCAGTTGTTCAGGTGATAATTGTTGGTCCATACCTGGCTATCCTTCTCTTTCTTTTCTTGATACCTCTGGGGATGTACTCTCCTTGCATCAGAGAAGTGGGGACACTTGGACCAAAGCCAGCCCTCATCGGACACCGCGGAGCACCAATGGTAGGTGTGGAGGAGTAGTTAGACATCTCTTCATCTTCTGTATTGCTACCTTTGTCATCATTTTCTTCTTCCCTTTTTTTTTCTTTTTTTTTCTCTCTCTCTTTTTTTTTTTTCCTGAAGAAATCAGTGGAGGATGGGAGGGGAGGTATTTCAGTTTGGAATTGCATGCCAAAAGGATCACTCTGTAGTTCTGCTAACAGCACTGCTCTTGAGGGACAAAGTTTGGTAGCCAAGGAAACAGGAGACTTTATCAAGAAAATGGAGATCCCTTAATAGAAAACAGAAGAGTGACAAGGAGACAGAATGTATTTGAAGAGTTCTCCAGTGTGTATCTAAAACCATTTTGCTTATGGGCCATTTCTTTCCTCAGCTGGCCCCAGAAAACACTGAGATGTCATTTCAGAAGACAATTGAACATGGTGCAGATGGTCTTGAAACAGATGTCACCATTAGGTAAGTGGACAACATGACAGCCCACAAAGCTCATGCTTCTTCTAAGAGCGTTTAGAGCTGTTTAGTTCCAGGCAACGTGGTTTTACTGGTAGGATCCCTCAGCTGACACATGATGACAAAAACTGTGGGGCATGGTTACTCTTGGGCAAGTCAGTAAGTTGTAGCTACTGATTAAAAAATAGAATTATAGAATCATTAAGGTTGGAAAAGACCACTAAGATCATCTAGACCAACCATCAACACACTGCCATCATGGCCGTGGTCAACATATTACCTCATCACTATTACAGGCTGCCCAGAGAGGCTGTGGATGTCCCGTCCATCCCTGTAGCTGCTCAAGGCCAGGTTGAATAGGGCCCTGGGCAGCCTGGCCTAGTATTAAATGTGGATGTTGCTGGCCCTGCCTGCAGCTGGGGGGTTGGAGATTCGTGATCCTTGAGGTCCCTTCCTACCCAATTCATTCTATGATTCCATGATTCTATGCTTCTATGATCATCTCCATACTCTATTTTAAACATTTTGCAGCATATAAAGGCAGTTTTTACCCTAGTCTGGCTTACAGACTTCTGTGAGGGTTTTATCTGTCCTAGAAAATACTAGAACACTCTGGCATCTGCAGAATGTGCCTTTCACATCATACTGTATCCACCTTTTTAGGGGCTGGCAGGCATAAATGCACCATCTCTACTCTGTCCCTGATGAAACCAAGTCCCCAGGGTCAACCAGCAATATTGGTTGGTGTTTTGAGTGTCATACTTCTTTTCTATCTTACTCTCTGTACTGAGGGAAGTCACACAGCTATGTTTGTAGTGGCCCACGTACTTCTTCTCACCTAGCATGACACTGCTTGTGCCCTAAGTGAACTGCACTCAAGTGACCTGAATTCTTGCTCTCCAACAGCTACGATGGTGTTCCTTTTCTCATGCATGACAGCACCTTGAGCAGGACAACCAACATCAAAGAGGTCTATCCCAATGCCACTGCTCAAAATGCAGCCTTGTTCTCCTGGGATGCCCTGAAGGAGTTGAATGCTGGAACATGGTTCCTAAAGGTAAGCACTGTAAAGGACAATCATCAATTTGTTGTAGAAGATAAACCAGCTGGCTACTACTTATTAGGATGAATATTAGAAGGGAAATTTCTGGTTGAGCCAGAACAGAGTCAGTACAGATAACTTAAGCTATAGGGTCTTCTTGTTTTGTACAGTTGGCTTTTAGGCTTTGGAGACTTGTTATATTTGGCTAGTGGATTTTTTTTTTTGTTGATTTTTATCATGGCAGCAGCAGAACTGACATGCTGGAGAAAGAAGATATCAGCTACTTAGAATCATAGACAATTTAGGTTGGAGAAGAACATCAGGTCATCGAGTCTAACCATTGACCTAACACAATTGTGCAAGATGTTGTGTGTGATGTAGCTAACGTGGTGGGGCAGAGAAGCACAGTAGGGCTACATGAGAACTAGACAGTTCAGGTTCCAGGAGCAGTGCCATTACAGCCTAGATTAGTTTTCCTTGTTTCCCAGGTAGAAGGGCTAAATAAAATCGAACATCCTGCTCTGTTGAGGACTGATGACAAACTTTTTCCTCCACAGAGCTATGACCTGTTTGCAGGCAGCAGCCTCCCAGATGCAACGGGCTGATTGATTTCCTTTTTGTATCTGCTTGTTTCTAGGACAAACCTTTTTCATGCATGGGCTCCCTGTCAAGGGCAGATCAAAACCAGGCAATGAATCAGTCAATTTACAAGCTAAGTAATTTCTTACGCCTCGCAGACAGTCAGAATAAACTTGTGATATTTGATCTCTACCGTCCTCCAGAGAAACATCCTTACAGGAATTCATGGATCAACAGAACCCTGGAAGTCATCCTCAACGAGTCGGGGATCAGACCCCACCTGGTAGGGTGGCCAATCTTCATATCCCATTCCATTGCTCACTGAACTGGGACATTGGGGTCAACACTGAGCTCTTTCATCATTGTGATAATTGACAGTCGACTCTCTGCCACCCATACTTATATTATATATTGCATAGAAGCTCCTGGTTTAAGTTAAAGCAGCTGGAAGCATTCATTGCCTTCCTCCTTCCCCAGGCAACACTTTGCTTAGGATACATGCCGAATCCATGTGAACCAGGTTATGTATCCACTGATTTCCAGAGAGTTAAGCTGATCCGTGTCTGCTCCCATGCTGTAAAAAAGGGATAAGAGAATACTTTCTGTTGCCTTTCCCATTTAACAAAGCTGCTTTTTCATTCATTTCAAACACTGCAACTTTTGTTAGGGCAATGGGAAATGTTCAGTGATTTCCAGTTGATAAGAAGGAACACTGAAGACCGATTTCTTGATGAAAATGACTTTTGTCAAGAAGCAAGTTTAAAGCCAGCAAATGAATGTTCTTTGATCATTGCAAGAAATATGTAATTTGACAGGCTGGGTTAAGCCCCTCAAGCCCTTATCTTTACCAGATTTGAGCAAAGAGCATGGCAATTACTAGTTAGTTCACTGTGAATTCACAAGGTCCTCTTGTTGTTTGCAGGTCCTGTGGCTGGAGAATGACATGAGGTCCTTTGTTCAGTCTGTTGCTCCTGGCTTCCAGCAGACCATGGGCAGTAAGGCCCCGGTTGAAGACTTGTTGATGGACAATATTGTCAAACTCAACCTGGCCTACACCGAAATGTCCAGTGAAGATATTCGGTAAGTTGAAGTTTCAGCTCCAAGAGCAGTCTGCGTGCTGACTAGAGAACGTTTGCTTCGTGTGTGTCGCAATGTCTCCCTCCAGTGACCAACTCTGGGATCGATAGCATTTTAGAAAGTACTCCTTGGGAGTAAGCAGCCATCCCTATTGCATTTTGGAATTTAATTCACTGCCACTGCCGACCCTGACTGTGGCCAAGAGATTGGCATAACTGAACCCCAGACCCCTCCCTACCTAAGTCCAAGTCCGTATTTAATCAATCAAAGTCATAAAATCATAGCATCAAGATTGGAAAAGACCTCTAACATTATCTAGTCCAGCTGTACCCCATCACCAATATTGCCCACTGAAGCATGTCCCTAAATACTCATCTGCATGTTTCTTGAACACCTCCAAGGATCTGGGGAATCTTCTGGGTAGAACAAAGTATCTTCTGATTTGCTATCCTTTTACACATGCCATCCCCAGCATCTCTAACACTGAACCATGAAGAACAACTATTAAACCTCATATGGCCTCCACAAAACACCTGAGTGAATCACAGAATCACAGAATCACCAAGGTTGGAAAAGACCTTCAAGGCATGATGCTGTGGTCAGAAAACATCACCCTTTTACAGATGGTGTTTTGGAGCCTTAATTTCTTGTCACCATAGCTACAGTGCTCTGCTGCTTGTGATACACTAGGAGTGTAATTTGTGCAAAGGAAGGCTGCATATTTATTGCAGAAGTCTCCATTCTCTTCTATTCCATTAAAACCAAGCCTTAAAAGCCCACACTAAATATCTGACTTGTCCAACTCTCCTTTTGTAAATAGGACTTTTTGTCCTACTTATGAAAATACGGACATCTAATTAAAAGTAATTAAAAGAAAAAATTGAACCCTTTCGATATTAATAATATTCATGTTTTCTTTTCACAGAATTTAAAAACCTAGGAAACAGCAGAATTTAAAATCCCCATCCCTGGAAGTGTTCAAGACCAGGTTGGATGGGGCTTTGGTCAACCCAGTCTGTGGGATGTGTCCCTGTCCATGGCAGGGGGTTGGAACTGAATGGGCTTTAAGGTCCCTTCCAACCCAAGTCATTCTGTATCAGTTATGACTGATTCATATGCCAGAGGGATAAATAAAGTTTTACTCTTTCAGACATGAGTTACATTTACCTGCAGCAGACCAGATACTCTGTATTAGTTAATTGTTTTCAAATTGGCTGGTTGGGCTTCCTGTTTATTCCTTATTTAGGTCCTAAAGCAAATATTTCTTATACAGATCTGCCATTTCTCCTTGATTCAGCCCAAAGGAAGTACTAACCTCCTTGCTTTTCTTAATGAAGGCAATTGCCTCTTGGTCTTTTAAAGGAAATACGCTGAGGCAAACATCACCACCAATTTCTATGTGATCAATGAGCCCTGGCTCTTCTCCCTGGCCTGGTGCTCCGGGGCACATTCTGTGACCACGAATGCTGTCCACATGCTGAAGAACCTCAGCCAGCCACTCTTCCTCATGGTAAGCAGTAGTCCTCCCTTTTTCCTGAGGTACAAAATGGGGGTAGGATGCTCATGATTACCTTTAGAGATCAAGGGCCAATTCATTCATGGACATAAGTCCGGTTCCTTTGAGCCACTACAGCTACCATCATTCTCAACTCCTGTTTTTTCATGGCCCTTAGAAAAGCACTCTGGTTGGTAGGACTTACTGTCTGTGAAGGAAAGAAAGTCCTAGTGAGACTTATGTAAAGACAAAGGAAGAGGGCTTTGAGGGCACATGTGGTTGTTGCGTGACAATTTCGATTTCTGAGATTCTAAGGAATCTTACTGCACTCAGGAGTTCCTAATGTCCAGGAACTCCTGCATTCCTTTACAAACTTGGTCAGATGTCACAAGCCAAAGGGAAAAAAGCATAGAGGCCACCCCTCCTTGCTGGGATGAGCTTTTCATGTTGCTTTTCCATCCTCTACTCTGCCTCGGACGATCTTTAGGGCTGAGGAGTGCCATGTTCTCACCACAGAGTCCCTGCATCATACCACTTGGAATAACTAGTTTCACACTCTTGAAGTGGGTTTTAAAACACTGCCATCTCTCATCCAGAAAACTAAATCATTTTCACCCCTTCTGAGGGTGGGTGAGGTTCAGTCTGTCCTCATGAGGGCAAATCCTAGGCTTAAAGAAGGAGCCACCCCCAGCCCCTCAGTGGTATTCACTCAAGGACAGTTTCGTGGGGGAGGAACAGATGCCATCAATTGATATTAACGTTGTAGGGACAAACAAGGAATCCCTGCTGTATTCACTGCAATGCAATCCAGTCTCCTTGGACACCCAGTGGATCAATTTTTACAAAGGATGATGGCTTGGCACCTGCACCCAATGGCAAGTGACCACTTCCAAATGCTTCCAAATGCTTTAAACACCTGAAGGATATCACTTCACATGCACACCAGGGATTGACAAGGCCAAGCACTAATAAGGAGCTTGAGTAGCTTTTTTGCATGGTTCAGTATCCGTGGTGTTCAACATATCCTCTGTCGTTCTCTTCCAGACACCACGGCAGTACAACATCATGTGGATCCTGACAGACCTGATCTCAGTGCTTCTCATCTCGCTCATCTTTGCTCTGCACTGGTAACTACTGAGTTCACAGAATCACAGAATATCCCGAGTTGGAAGGGACCCATGAGGATCACTGTGTCCAACTCCTGGCTCCACCGCCTTCTAACCTGATTTGTTACCTTTGGCAGAGGAATGGAGGGATGCTTACGGTGTCCTGAAGGGTTAAAACTGCTCTTCTTCAAGAATTATTAAAAAACAAACAAACAAAAAAGTGCCCTGTACATCTCCAAAAACCTCTCCTGCTTGCTTTCCTGTTTTTCTTTTCTTTTGGCAACCAAGCTTCATCTACCTGAAGGATTCAATATAGACGTGGTGGGCTTAGAGTAGAAACAGAAACAAGTTATCAAAGCTGATGGACTGGAAAAGGAATTGATTCTTCTATCCTTACTATTTAGATTAGGATTTTAGATATTAGGACTTCAGACATGAGGTGGAAAGCTCTCAGTGTTAATATTTGTGCCCCCCAAAGTAGTAGTTCTCTGTCTACATGTGTCAAAGTCAATGAGGAAATCCATCCTCCCAGCTGAGAACACCTGAGTGTGCCCAGCACTGTGTTTTCTTTGCTTTTGTGCTGCCCATGACTTTATCTATGATTATTGGGGAAACTTGGATCAGGGTGTTGGATGCATCATGGTTGGATCAGAAACCAGTCACCCTGCTCTGCTTTCTGCAGTCCTGACCCAAGTCTTGCTATAGCATCTTTCACTTTGCTTCCAAGGCTGCAGGTTGCAGCAGATGGCTTGAAATGACCACATCTATGCAATACATTATTATCATCTCTAAATCTTCCCATCCCCATCTCCTCCAGGCTCCCTTCCATGTGCTTCTCCATGTTGTCTTCCTATTTCCCAGGACTTTGCAGATGGTTCTGATCCATCCAAGAAGGCCCTGCAGGGCTGCCATTGCAACAAGGGTTTTCCCAGTGCTTCTGGGAGCACGGGGCCATCAGCTGTGCCTGGGGGACCTGTGTGATCCAGTTTATCAGGTTCATGAGTCCACCGAACTCACAAATTTTAAATGTCTTTGTCTGCTTAGGAACCAGTGGCTGCAAAATAAGGACTGTAATCCCTTAAATCTTTCCCAGAAAACAGGACTTAGTCACAAAGTTGACTTCAAAATGCTATTGCTTGTGAAGTGTGGATACTTAAGGATCACAAGGTTCCCTTCTCACTAAAGGCCTGAGCAAATCCCCAAATAACTGGGCAATTCCAGCCCTAACAAAAGAGAATAAGGTGACCAGGGCTACAGGGAGCTGACCCAGGCACTTTGTCCCTTTCAGGTGGCGAGAGCGGAGCTTCTCCTGCTGTGCCCATGAAGGTGACCCGATGCTGGAGAGTGGCACCTACAACAAATTCAGGACAGGTGAGTGGGTGAGGAGGGGCAAGAGTTGGATTCTGCTTGGGGAGGTTTCTGTGGAGCGTAACCAAGGGGTTGGTGATGGTGCTCTGACAGGACTGAGCCCAGTGGGGCCACCAACCTAGTCAGGGACGGAGCTTGAGGTATTTAAGAGATGGATTTATACAACGAGAAAGGAGTTCAAGATGCATCTTATCACTGTCTGCAAACACCTAATATACATTAGATGCTATATTCTATAATATGCATTAATAATATGTTTTGGAGATCATGGAATCCTTAGAGTTGGAAGAGACCTTTAAAGGTCATTTAGTCCAACTTCCCTGCAATGAACAGGGACATGCACAGCTAGATCAGGTTGCCCAGAGCCCGATCCAGCCTCACCTTGAAAGCCTCCAGGGGCAGGGCATCCACCACATCCCTGAGCACTCTGAGATGCTTCCATGCTCCAGATTTCTGAACCAAAGAAGCAGACAGAATCACAGAATCACAGAATGGCCAGGGTTGGAGGGGACCTGAAGCATCATGAATCTCCAAGCCCTAGAAAAACGACCCAAGCATTTAGGACCAAGCTGTCAGTATTTCAGTATTTCGGTAGCTTATTGTGTGTCCTCTTTTCCAGAGCTTAGCAACATGCCAACCGTCATAGCCTGATGTGGGCAGGGAGGATGCAGAGCTGCCATCTCGCTGAGATCCAGAGATTGGAGCATCACTTGCTGACTCTTCCTGCAGTGCAAATCCAGCCTGCCAAGAGGGCCAATGAGCTTCTATGAAGAAGGAGCCATTTGTCATCACGGTCCTGATGGAGATGAGCACTGAGTTCTCTCCCTGCTTTCCTCATCATTTCATGCCTGGCAGGGATTCCAAGGGTGAAGAGGAGCACACATGAGGTTGCAGGTGGGAGCTGTGCACCACAGTGGTTAAACCTCTCTAGCAGTACACATGTAGTAGCCACCATTTCCCATTAAGACCTTTGGCATGTCAGAGGGTAATCAATCTGAGCACCCTCTGGTCCTCCTTATCTTTGGCTGCCCATGTTTCCCCAGTCCCCATAGCCCCTTTCTCCTCATGAGTCTTCTCCAGCCCAAGATCACACCAGCCCCACAATGGTCAAGTGCTGGTGGATGGCTCAGCAGGGTCTGTAACATTCCTTAATACAGGCAGGCAGGTTTTTCTTTTCCTTCCTCTAATCCTTCCATTAGTCCAAATGGGACAGCCTCCTCACCCTGACTTTCAGTGAGGGAGTACTCCCCAAGAATGCAAAAGCAGTTCTGGTGCCTTGGCCAAGTAATTACCAGGACTACGACCAAGATCACAACACTTTTCTTCATTTGTTGCATGTGAACTGGTTCCACCAAATGTCCTATCTTCTTTTCCCTTGTGGAAGACCTTTATACCTGCTCTGTATCCTGGGATTTATTTCAGTTTTCATTTCTCCCAGTGGCTTCTGGCGCATGGGGAAGGAAAACTACACTCTGCTCTGCAAAGAAGAGCTGAGCATCTCCCAAGTTTAAGCCATAAATTTGTACTTGAACAGTTAATAAGAACACTTTTTAACAATTATTATTATTTTGTAAATTGCAAGTGCAGCTTTAAATAAATTTTGGCTCTCCTAACCTCTTTTGTTCTTATTCCAGCAGTCAAGGAAAGGGGAAGAACACAGTAATCTTCATCAAAATCAGACCACAGGCATCTTTTCATATATAAGCCTCCTTATTCAGCAGAATGTTTTTGCTGAATAAACCTATATCACAAGTGGAATGTGAAAGGGAAGTGCGAGGTTTCAAACTTAATACTGCTGAGAAGTGCTGAACCTTTCCAAGTTTGAAATTCTCGAGTATTTTGGAGGCTAGAAATGCAAAAAGACACTAGCTTCCTCTGAAGAGAGCTGAAGGATTGCTATAAAACAGCTCCAGATCTATAGAGCATGCAGAGGATGCTAATGATGGTGTTAAATCCCCTCCTCGTACTCTGCACCCATACTGGTTCACAGCTTTTGTAGGTACCACCCAGGTGCAGATGCACGAGCAGAAAAATGAGAGCTGAAAGTGTTTGGACAGGGTGGTGGTGTGCTCCACGGGGTGCTCCAGGTGAGGGATGTGGTGGGGACAGGCTGTGGTCCCTCGACTGTTGTCGTCTCCTCAGCGTGTCCCAGGCTGACCCATAACAGTCATCCTGAGCTGCGTTGTGTCTCAGCTACACAGCTATTTTTGTTGTTTCCCAGCAGCTTGCACGTCCTGGTAACACCATTAAGCATGTGGTTGGTGGTCTGAATTCCACACAGAAACTTTTCATACGATCATAGAATCATTATGGTTGGAAAAGACCTCTAAGATCACCAAGTCCAACCCCAACCCACGCCCACCATGCCCACTGTCCATGTCCCTCAGTTTCACATCTCCGTAGTTTTTAACATCTCCAAGGATGGTGACTCTACCACCACTCTGGGCAGCCTGTGCCAGTGCATTACCGCTCTGATATTTTTCCTTATACCAACTTGAAGTTCTCCTGGTGCAACTTAAGGTCATTACCTCTTGTTCTCTTGACCCAGCACTTCCTATATCCAGAGATTCAGCTCAAAAGTTGCTTTTGTGGAGGATCCAGGCCTCGTCTTAGAGGATGAACAGTGGAAAATCCCAAGGCTCCAGTGGGTTTTGCCCAAAAAGATTTCACTTATCATAGAATCATACAATCAGAAAGGTAGGAAAAGACCTTCAAGATGATCATGTCCAATCGTCAACCCATCACTACCATTAAGTGATGTCCTTAAATGCCAAGGCACACTGACGACGTGCTCCCCATCACTGGATACTCTCACCAGGAGTCCCACTACACAAAGAGAAGTCCTTTCCCTAATGAAGGAGAGCCCTGATCCCACTCTTCCACCCCTGGAGGTACCACAACCACACAGTGCAGAACAGCCTCCCACAAGCCACTTTATGCCTTTTAATTAGAGTATTTCACTTGGACATATGTTTTTGCATGTTACATTGTTGGATGTAAATACAAAGAGGCCAGCAGATGCTAATACATATGACACACAGGCACACACACACACAGAGTCCCAGCACCCCCAAAATGATAGGATGTATGGGAGGCCAACGGAGCTGTGAATGAGGGGACAAGGGAGTTCTGAGGGGGAGAGCTCCCCAGGACAGCTCTGAAAAACATTTCTACGATTTGTACTGAGCTTGTGGGGAGAGGCAAAGATGGCAGGAAACTCAAGAAAGTTGTGGTAGTGGTGGTAAGGATGATGAAAGCTTGTCTAGGAGTGAGTGGGATCCCAGGGCCAGACAAATCATGGCAGCTAGGGAGGGAGGAGGAGCATTGGAGATGGTTGTTGGGGAGACAGGGCTCCCAGTGCAGCATTAGCTGGTGTTACCACGATCCCATCAACAAAGTGCCACAGGCAAGGAGAGGGTAAAGGAAGGGGATCTCATGGCAGCTCTGTCCAGTGGTGAATGTCTCTATGCAGCACTGTGTTTGCTTTGGGGGAGAAACCAAGGTCCAGTGATGCTGCTGTATCCCAGCCACATGCTTTTGTCCTTGTGGTTCAACAAGCAGTGCCATGGTGTTGAGGAACCGAGCCCAGCTGAGCTCCAACAACACAGGGTACCATACAGTATTGACTCCTATGCGTGCAGCTGAGCTCAGCCCAATGCACAGGACCAAGAGAGTTCTCCCACATTTACTAGTAGCCACTCAGCATTAGTGACAACAGCATCAGATCTTGGTGGACACTTCTCCTATCTCTCGATACCATGTGCCCAGACACCTGATCCTTTAAAGCCTGGACTTTGGAAAGGCACTCCATGCTCCTTCCCCTCTGTTCTCACACACACAGTGTGGGTTAGCCTCCTCTCTGCTGGCAGGTCCCATCTCTGGTCCAGCTGCTCCACACTGCATGCTGCTGGGTGGAAGATGAGACAAGCACCCAGCAGATGAGTATGGTCAACCAAAGACAGAGAAAAGCCCACTGAGACCAAGGGCCTGCCCTGCCTCTGAGTGGTTCAGGCTCCAGCTGGGGTTGGTAGAGAACCATTTTATACAGTGATACACACAAAAGCACAACAAAATCATTAGCTAATCATTAGCTGTTTCCAATGTTGATGTCCAAGTCCCTGTTAAGGTCAGAATCCTTTCTGCACATGGGCTTGGCCATAGTCTTCCAAGAGTGGGAACTCTAAAACCCCCACGTCCACATTGAAGCTTGTGGAAAAGACCCTCACAGGGTTAATTTGTCTGAACATGAGGCAAAAGGAGGTAACTCATCTTCCACGCTTCACTTCCAGCTAGGCTCTTAATTGGGACAGATGTGCCTTAGATGCTGGCAGTCATGTTTCCAGGGGAATCCTTGGTGAGGGATTGTCCTGCAGGCTGCCCTCAGCCCCAAGGCATTGTCCACATATCGGCACAAAATGCAAGATTTCTTTCTTTTTAATATTTTAAAAAATAAATAGAAGAAGAAACAAAACTTTAAAATTTGTTCGTTAAATATTTCCAGCATTGCACAGACAGCACTTTAACGTTCTAACATGTTCAATCAGTGGTTTGTTTATTCTGGTTCCTAGTTAAAATGTGCTCCTCCCAGCCTGATTTCTCTTTCTGTCCTTGAGAACACAGTGTATACCTTTTTAACACCAAAAAACAAGCCCTGCTGTGTTCATTGGACACTCCTCCAGGATGGATTGGGTCTTTGCTACTTGTCTTCAAACCTAAAATGTCCATAAGCTCACCAAAAGGCATTAGAATCCCAACTGTTGTCACTTAAAAAAAAAAAACCACAACACAAACCAAACCAAACCAAGCCACACACACACACACACACAAATCCTCTTCCCAGAGCCTTTGTGATGCCAGCCATTGGGTTCAGGCAAACCTCCTGCCAGAGTCTTTTTGCTCCAGTCATTGTTTGAGAGCAGTGTTGTCTTCTGGAATTCTTTGAGGTCCAGGTGTAGTTGGGGTGGAGAGGAAGGATGGGAGGTCAGAGATAGTCATCTTCGCTGGAAGGGGTGGTGGGATTGGAGCCCTCAAGGTCAGAGTCCAGCGAGCTCCCTGATGGTGTTCGGCTCATCTTCCACATCTGGGAGGCAAAGGTTCTCCCCCAGCTGCATGGGTATCCCACAGCCCTCAGCTGCTGAATTAGCCCCATGGCCACGTGCCAGTGGCTTCTTGCAGTTCACTTGCTACCCTTTGCACTCCTCTGTTTGCTCATGGCTGTTAGCATCTGGCTGATGTATGAGGTCAGAAGATCATCCATCTTGTAGCCCTGATGAAGAGGGAGAAGTTCTTACATGTCCTTCTAGCAAAACTTAATCTCTGGCTTATTCATCAACATCACACTTGCTATATGTTATATTTACATGAATCCGGGTGTACTTCCCCCTCTTTTTTCCCCATCTTTTCCACCATTTTCTGACACAAAGATAAAAGGCCAAACTATTTGCAGTGTTAAACTCTCTCAGGATGCTACTGATGTTCAGAGCTTTGGAAAGGGAGTAGCTTTTCAAATGGGCAATGATAAACAGGATGTCAAAAATTAATAACAATAAACCTGGCAAAAATTTTTATCCTGCATTCTTTGTGTTTAAGATTTGCTAGGCAGTTTTTTTTTTTTTTTTTTTATTGTTGTGACTGTTAGTAGGGACAGGACTGACAAGAGACCTTTGTAAAAATACACCCCTTGAACCCACGTCTGCTTTCATAGAATCATAAAAGTTGGAAAAGACCACTAAGATCATCTTGTCCAACCCCAACCCATCCCTACCATGCTCACTAATGTCCCTCATGTCCCTCAGTGTCACATCTTCATGGTTCTTGAACACCTCCAGGGATGGTGACTCCACCACCTCCCTGGGCAGCCTCCTACTGTAAGACGTTACGCTTTTCACTCTAATGGCATGGAGAAGAATCCCATGCTCATGCAGTGGTAATGCCCAAGCAACTGAGGCTTGCCTGTAGCTTGAACCCAAAGAGAGCCCTGGTAAAACCTTGCATGGATGCACAGGCAGAGGTGAGACCTTACATACCTGACACATCCCAACACTTGATGTCTAACCCATATTTAAAAAAAGGTGTTATGGAGATAGTAACCTTACGGTGTTGAAATCCAGAAGAAACAAACAACTATGGGGGCTCATTTACGAGACCACCTGCAACTCAGAGAATCTCTGAGACACAGCTTACTGGAAGCATTTAATTTTGGCCTGCCATTGTCAGAATTTGCTCTAAGTTTGTGCCATAATCTTTAATCCTCCTTACCAGGGATGTCTCGCAGAGCAGCTTGCTTCCCCTCACCAGGTTGCCAATCGTTATATGGAAGTACGTGTTGCCACTGCTCCAGTTGGAGATCTTGGTGAAGGGATGAGTGATGAGAATATCCTGGTGGGAACACAAGGTTGACAGTTAACACACAAGAGTCTCAACTTTTATAAAGTTCATGGGAACCTTCCATGTCCCTGTTCTCTTTCCTTCAAAGTACACTAAGGATGTCTGCTGAAATATGGCTGTACCATGGCCTCATAGGAACAGTAGTGAGGTGCAAGACTGTGGAACCTCAAGTGCTTGTGGAGGATGGCTGTTATGGAAAAGCTACATGGCTGGTGGAAGTACCTAG